CTCCCTGTGAAATACTGCCTCCTTACAAAATGTCTTTGATGTTACCAGAAGGTGAAGTTTTTTCTTAAAGACTACAAATGTTTGATCTGTAGAGGTTGGTTCTTACATGGGTGTTTCAATCAGATGTTCTGTGTGATTTGCACATGAAATGTTACCAAAATACTTATAATTTGGAAGGCAGTTAGGAATTAAAATAGTTATCAGATCTTGGTCAGTATGAATGCTTGGTCTAATTGTGAAGCCAGTTATTACTGTGCACAGTTTTTTATTGTGGAGGAGAAGGATTTGCTAAGGCTGAAAAAGAAATTAATCCAACTTTCTCATTAAAACATACTTTGAAAAAGATCATTAATTGTGCACTGACCATTCATTGTCATACCAATGACTTTCTAATTCTTTTTCTTCACATTAACAAAATAGAGGTGGCTTAAGACCCACATGAATGTTCACGATGCACATGGCTGTTTTTACTGAAAATGTTACTTTCATTGTTGCAAAAAATGAGAAGAGATTAAACTCTTCCTCACACGCTGAAAAATACTCTGTCTTCAAAAATATTCATAGTAAAATCAGCTAAAATGCATAAAAAATGTCCTGTTACTGCTTTTTGTATATGTAATTCTTGCCATTGCTGGACAGATGATGTTATATGACAGTGGGGAGCAAGCTTTTCTCAGTAACTCCTACGACAGTAAAAGTTTCAGAGCACCTGAAATAATGAAGAAGACTCACAAATGCAAATGACAGCTTTCATCTTCCTTTATGAAGCACATGCTCATGAATATATACATTTTTGCACATGTAGGAGCTCAAGTGTATCTGCCTTCCGATGAATGAAAGAATACGGAAATTATGTATTCAGAATTAGTTAGAAGTTTGCTTTATTTTGTTGAATTCTCCGATTTAATTGAAATTCCCTTCCTGAGCTGGAACATTTCTTAGAGACTGCCAGATTCGAGAAGGGGGCACTGTTACCCCTTCTCCTTCCTTCAGAAGTTTTTGTGCTATTTAAGTAGCAGTGTTGCTTTTGGTGATACTAACAGCCTTTTGGCAGTTCTGTGCTGTTTGTCTGCACAATCTGTCCATCTAAAGTAGCAGAGCATGAGAAGCTGATCTCCTGAGGGAACTCCAACAATATCGACAGGCTTGATTGACATAAAACCAGTCTCTCTCTTTCACCTCCACTGAACTCTCAGAGTAAATTCAGGGCCTGACTGAAGTGAGATAGGGTTTTAGCCATTGACTTCCATGGGAACAGAATCTGAGCACTAGCAGCTACTGCCCTCTCCTAAGGCAGCCCTGAATGTCTTGGCAAATGCTGTTTAGAAGCATTATCAATTTGATCCCACTTCCTTCTCAAGACTCAAAGCCAAGTTCAGGGCTATTTATGTCCTATTAACTAGAGAGGGCTTTGGATGGGAACTGCAGCAAGCATTTAAATATTTTCCTTGAAAAAATGGGTTATGGCTTAATGAACCTTGTTCAGGTTAAAGCAGTTATTTATTCTTGATATTTGTGTTTGTTTGCTATCAATCAGGTAGAGGTCAATGAAAGAGCAGTGCCTTCTATCTTGAAGAGTTTATCAGGATGGAATAGCCTGAAACTTGTTTCAAGTGAATCAATTCTCACTTTTTTTTCAGGAAAATAGCAACAGTAGATTTTCCAGATATGCTTCAAAATACCACATATGCTTAAAACTTAGTGGATGTCAAGAACCATACAAAAAGATCTGCTTATCACTTCAAAATGTGAACATCTACAGATATCCAAATTACATTTTCTATTAAGTCAGCAGTACAAAAGGTGAGAGAAGAGGCAGAGACTCAGGCATTTATTTTCAGTCCATGTGTTCACACAGAGGAAAAAGAGAAAAGTAAAAATGCAGTCCATAAATTGAAGACTGTCTGCATGGAATGGAAAAGAAAAGAAACAGAAAAGTTTAAAATATTCCCTTTTTTCTTTCCTCTTCTTCTGAAGTATTTGGGGTGAAATATACCACTTCTACTGCTGAATATTATTCATCTGATGTTGATATTGTTTGACTAGTACCTAAATACTTTCTTTTTTGAATTGATAACCATGGTACCTAATTGTGATTCTTTTCTTGGCTGAAGTAAATTTATTCTTTTTAAAGCATGCTGGAAATTTAATGAAACCATTAAAAAATAATTCTACTTAGAAATAATTATGTTCTCATGGTGGAATGGGATGGGGTCTTTCTAGTATCTTTTGTTGCTACTGCATTACTGCATACAGTAAGAATGATGGTACTACTATTTGGGTGCATCTGATCTTGGAAAGACTGGAGGACCTTTCTTACAAAGCATTTCTAGAGGGCTAAATTAAAACAAGATTTGAGTTCTTCTGTGTACTTAGAGCAACGTCTTTGAACTCCCAAGACGGTTGCATTCTACTTTATGACCTGAAAGAAGAGAGATTATTAATTTGGTTTTATATATATGTCTGTATAGAGGTTGGTTACCATAATTGTTTCCAGGTGTAAACCATTAGGACCTACAGCACTTCAGAGTTATTAAGATAATTTTCTGTCTTGTTTGATGCTACATGCATGTGTTTAGGGGAAAAAACCAAAACCAACAAATCCCTGAAAATCCTCAACCCAGAACCATCCTATATGGGCTCTGTCTTCCTGTCAGAACATTTTGTTTTGAAATTTCTACTTATTTTAATGTTGGTCAATACAGACTGCTTTTATCCACAGAATTACCCCAGTTTATCATAGAGGAATATAATCTCCCATGCAGAAACTTGCCTGTATAGAGCATTGTCCTTTTCCACCTTCTTTCCAACCTCCTGAAAAGTCTATACAATATTTTTTTCACATTTTTTCTAGATGGGGTTAGTAAAGTTGTTTGCTAGCTCTGTTAGATCACAATCAACTTTAGGAAGTCACTAATTAACAAATATGAGGTTGTCAGATGGTAATGCTAGAGAGGGGAATTCCAGAAATGGTAACAGCTTCCTATTTGTGGTTGGCTAATATATAGAGAGAGGATGTGTAGATTTCCTACCTTGTTAAACCACATCACAGTACATGGGATAATACCACATGTGTTCATTAGCAGATTATCAGGGCACGTCTAAAGATCCACTGTGCAGATGGTTTTTGCATGGTCCTCCTGATGGTATCATATGTTGCTTGGTAGTTGAACTTTTGAAGCTTCAGATGTGATATTTAATAGGTCTTTCTCTAATGCTGGCTTAGCACCCGCTCCTCCCTCACAATCACATCAAAGTGAACTCTAAGTAACCATTCTGAAATCATGCAGCATCAGGCCATAGAGTAAAACCAGTGAAAGCACAGGGAAATCAGCCCTGTAAAGTCTCTCCATCTGTAGAAAGAATCTCCATATCCACCTGGATGCTTTTAAACCTTCATTATTTTAAATTTAATATGGTTGGCTGAGCATTGCTTCTACAAAAATCTGATACAATAATCAAAGTTGGAGGTGGGGAAGGACCTCTGGGGTCACACAGTCAAGGTTTCTGCCAATAATGGATTGTTTCTTGCAGTTCAGTTCCTAGTGACCTTGGAAGTTACTAGCCTGGTAAAATGGTAATGAAAAAACAAAGCTGCTATAGCTTCAAAAGTAGCCAAAGTGATGCTGTCCCAGTGTGAAATTGTGGTTTTGATGTTAGATTCTCTCCATGTATTGTTTCTTGGTTGCAGTGTTTAAGTGATCATGGTTTTAATCTACACTTTCTGACCCATTTTGAATTGGCTATAGTCAGGAGGTTGTTGGAGACTAGCTTGTTTTAATACCATATGAACTTGTCCCTTAACCAAATCATAATTTTTATAACAAATAAATAAGTCAAAAACTTGATTAGCCCCTCTACCCAAAAATTTTTCTTCATGTCTCTGCAGTTGTATTCTTTCAATATTTCTAGCCCCCAGAAACAAGAAATGGGAATGAAAAAAACACAGATTTCTTAGTTTTTCCATCAAAACTCTTGGTTAATTAATTACAGACTTATTATGCCTGGGAATGCAACGATTCCTGAAAAGTCTCAGATGTGACACATGATTTTTAGATTTCATTCAAACAGGCAAATATTCAAAAAAAACTTCTCTGCTGATGTAGGCAGTAAAGCACAACTCTAGCATACACCTAAGTGGGTAGAATTTGCCCCCCCCTTTTAAGGATGAAGCAGGAGAGACAAGCTCCCACCAGCAGAGTAATTAAAATTATGCTTAAAAAAATATTTTAGGAGGCTGTCAAAAGCTGGGTAGATGGGAAAGAGATCCCAAGACACCAAGTTCCCTTCCTGTTGTGCCTGTTTGATGTGTGCTAATTTCTTCTCTAGAGGACCCTATTGTTGGCTGCCTTTTGGGGTGTGATAATCCTTTCTTCCTGGGACTCTGCCCTCTCCCCCCATCATTGTATTCACACACTCCAGATCTCATTCGGAGAGGAAAAGGGTTTTCTCAGCTGCCAACTTGCTTAAAAGAGGAGTTAAGAGGAAAAGAAAGCTGATTGGACTGGGCTTGGCAAAAGTCTCCATTTTATTCTGTTTTGTCAGATTTTTAAAGGACTGGATGTTGAGGAACACCAAAATAGTGAGAACACTTATTCCTTAAACAGGTTCTTGCAGAGTTTTTACAACTAAAAACAGAAAGCTGCTTTAGTAAAGCAGTGTTTATCCTTGCACTAATGCTGGTCATGAATACGTGTCTAACTTAGCTGGAACTAATGCCTGACTATACTGTTCCACTACAGCAACTTAACATTCTGCGTAGGCTGATTATTTTTTCAACAATATTTGCTAAATTCTTTTAAGGGCTGCCAGTATATATTTTTTGAAGCTTAGTTAATAAGAACAGCTGCCAGTGGAGTCAAGGCTAAAAGAGGCAAAAAATATCTGCAGAAGGCAAGATTTTACTTCAAAAGATCAGTATTACAAAGCACTACTGTTGCTGGTATAATCACTTTCTTTGGGGGGGATGCTAATATAGACTGGGTTTCTTGTCTTCACAGCCCCCACTGAGCCTTTGCTGTGCAAATTTGCTGATGGAGGGCAAAAGAAGCGCCAGAATCAAAGCAAATACACACAGAATGGAAGGCCGTGGCCCAGAGAAGGAGAGGTAAGTGCCACGTAGCAATTATTTTCCTGGGGTTTGGCAGAAGTCAGCAACAGACCTGGAGGTCTACCTTTCAGGCTGTGAAGAAATCAGATTGCACACAAAATGTAATAGTTTCATACAGTAAAAAGCTATGTAAGCAGTGGGGAGATGGAGGTTTACGATAATGTGCAGAGTGTAAAGTTACAGGAAAGGAGAATTTCCGAGCTTAGTGTGGAACTGTGCACAGCCTGGTCCCACTGTGAGTGCACTGCAGGCAGACCTGAGCCGAGGATTCTCTTACTGGTGAGCCATCAGCACCCAAGGTGTGCCTTTTACAAACTAAATCAATTTACACTGAAGCAACTCAACAGTGTTACTTCCTCCATCTAGCTCCTGGTGGTAAAATATCCGTAGGGAATATGAGAGCTGTTCTAAAAGATAGAGGTGTAAATGCAGATGTAGGGTCCATGTAAAAGTTTTCTGAAAGCTTTTCTGAGCTGAACTCTTCATTCTGTTCAAGACAAAACAATTTGTCTTGAAACAAAAACTCAGCTGCATCATGTATACAACATTTTAAAATTAAGTAGTCTAATGGTTGCTCCTTGTACTGCTGCAAGTAGTCTGTTACTGGAGTTTCTTTTCTGTGTTCTTTTATATGAAGTGACCCCAACTGAAGGTGAAATAAGGCATTTTTTTGATTCTTCAAGAGTTTGTTTATTGTTTTTGAATTTTATTATTGGAAAAAGACTTGAATAAATAAGGTAGAACTGATCACAGTGCCTTCTTGTGCATTGTGTTAGTTAGGCTGAAGGACTTGTAAACATTTCTATCCTAAACAACTATACTTTGTGTTAATGGTTGAGCCTTCAAGGAAAAAAAGTATTGGTATCAATTGTGCTCCTCTAGAATACAAGTTTGGTGGGGGGGAGAAAATGTCTCTTTTTGGGGAGGGGGTTGAGTGTTGCTATGTTTACTTAAATTTTACAAGGCAAACAAAAAAAATTATTTGTTCTTTCTGGGTTACGTGTTTCTGGTGTATTTCTGCATTTTTGTAACTACTTGATTTTTCTAGCTGGTACCTTTCAGACCTCTAGTTTATGACATTCATACTCTGGTACCATTGGTGAGCTCGCTCCTAAAACAAACAGAAAGGCCTTTTGAAAGTGTAGAAATTTCTCCCACCATCCCACGGTTGTTTGACACTGTTCCAACAGCAAAGGGTCCATTTTTAGCTCTGTGGGCAGAAAATCACAGTGTGGCAGACATGTGTGCTACAGGACATTGCAGAAGTCTCCAAAGGGTCAAAAAATGGAGTTATCTTCTCAGGAGCCATTATGATTTGTCATATTAGGGATCTACTTAGGAACAAGTCCCCAAGAAGTACTTCAAGCAGTAGACTCAGGTCAGCCTATAAAGACCTTGAAAAACAAAGATCTATATATAGGACACAACAATAAACCCTCAATAAGGTCAGCAATCCATATTTTAAAGACCTCTAAATCCCTTTTTAAAAAGTAAATATCATCATAGCTATTATCTCTGCTGTTTTATACTTCCTTCAGTTGAAATCAGTAATAAAAGAGAATATAAAGTCAAAGCTAGCAAGTCACCATTATGCCTGTCGCCTCAGGGCATCAGCTTATTGCACTTTGTGTAGTTCATTTGCTGCTAGTGGAGTGGTGCCTGTTAAGCCCAGTGATATCCTGGCGACCTAGAGGCAGGGTGTGGCTGGTGTGTTTGTAGTATTGACACTTAAAAACTGATTTTTGGTGCTGGAAGATGTCATTCCTTGTTGCTGATCGTGGTCAACTACAGAGCTGTTGTCATGGTATAATGTACAAACATGGAAAGATTGTAAAGACACAAAATCAGAAATATTTCAGCCTAGATTTTCTCAGATTTTCTCTGTTTGATAACATCTGATTGCTGCACACTGGATATTTGCTACCCAAATCAAAGACAGGAATGCATGTTCTCTTTTAGGGTCCCTCATTTATTGAATTTCTTCCCCACTGTTAACTTTCTTACTTCCAATGGAAAATCTTTCTGTATAATTACTCTTATATTTCACATGTAATAAAGATTTTCTAACTCTGTGTTCTTTAACAATCTTATCGTAAAAATAATCTACCATTCAGTTGTTCTTGAGGTAGCAGCACTTGAGTAACCCTCCTACAGTTTTTTCTGTAAATTTTAATTTGTTTTCATTTCTTTTTAAAAGAAATAAAAAGTGAGTAGAGAAAAGTAACTGGTCTATGACAAGTGTCATAGTTCTGATGACAAATGGCATCTGGAAATACTCCCTACACATCTGCTTTTTCTTGGTTTCTTCCCCAAAGAAAAGTATTGAAACAACATCTAAGAGATTACTCCCATCGTGTTTCCACCCTGGCAAAATCCTGTGGTATCTAGACCAAGATGTATTTTGGCTATTGTTCAGATAAGCCTTTGCATTCTTGAATACTTTAGTGAAGGGCATTTCTAAGACATCTGTGGTTTACCCAGTGATAGCACTGAGCGTGCATAAGGATTATTTCTCGGAAGAACAGATCCCAGAGAAATGACGGCAACAGTTCTGTCACGGGCCTCAAACTTGAGCATGCAATGTAGAGGCAGACAGATGTGCACAGCATTCTGCTGGAAGAGGCAAATGGCAGGAGATTTAGTGGGGAGGAGCAGGTTTGCTGTAGTGTTATGTCTCTGGTCATGCTGTTTTCAGAGGTTTTGCTCTCTTTTATGAAGAGCTTCTATGGAATTTTATGACAGGATTTTGTCTTTTTTTTTTTTTTTTGTAAAGTTGTCAGGTCATCCTGCAGAATGCAATAGAAAATCTGATTCCTATCTTACATCTTTGTACACTGCTTCATAATAATACAGTAATACTTTGACTGGCTGTTAAATTGCCTGCCCTTTTAAAGTCAAATTATTAGAAATACACTGAATTTCTCTAGGGCTTTTTGGGAGGTCTAGGGGGTAGGTTTGGTTACTTGGCCAGTTGTAACCAGGGAAGAATGCCAGATCTTGAACAGTGCTTTCTAGTCCTTACCCTTCCACTCTTGTTTGGAGTCTCGGGAAATGTTCAGCAGATTTACTGAGACATTTAACTGAGCGTTTGTGATGGTTGACCAGTTCTGGACTACAGAGCTGAGAGCTTATATTTGTGATGGCTTTATATAAGGCTGTCATATTTGATATCTAACAGACAGGTGCAATAAATGTACAGTGAAACCTTCAAGTGTTGGAAATATTTACAGTGAAATTCTGACCCAGCAACTGACATAATTTCTGCACAAAGTCCAGTAATTTCTTTTTTGGGCTAGTTCCTTCTCACACTGGTTTAATTAAGCTCTCTCTTTTGAAACTTAACCTGACAAGCTTGTATTGAGATGGTGATAGAGGATAATCATATTCAAATTCTGTCTGTAAAATATTTGATTCAATTTACCTCTAAATTGCAATTGACAAGTTTAGAGGTGGGTGACATAAATCCCCTAAAATGTTTTAGCCAAAAATGCACCCAGGGAATCAAGTGTAGTCACAAAATGAGATCAGATTGGATTAAAAACTGTAACATAAATTTTGCACCATAATCTTCTATTGCAGATTTAATGAAACCTTCTTCTGGTTTTTCAGAAATGAAGTCTTTTGATACATGTATTTAAGAGCAGGTTTATTTGAAAATTACCTGGTAGACAGGGAGAAATATGCCTAAAATTTATTATTCTTTTCTAGAAATTTTAGCTTTTCTACATCTGGTCTGCCAAAAGTGATTAAGGCTTTTTTTATGGTCACAGTATTTTGAACTCTATGATATTTGATTTTCAAGTTTCTGTAAAATCTGGGCTATTTAAATAGTTACATTGCCTTGTAAGAGAATACCACCCTTACAGTAATGTTGCATGCATCAGAACAGTGACATGCACCACTGAATGCAATCCCCTTGTCATTGAATTTGGTCTGACGTCTATAACGATATTCAATAATTGTCACTAATAATTCTTTTATTGATTGCTTTTTTTTTGCTTCCATAATCTAAGTTACATTTTTTATTTCTAAAGAGCCAATGGTTTACCTTCCTTTCCTTCCCTTTCTTCTCTTCCTTCTTACTCTTTTCTCCTTTGTTTTCTTTCAAGCTCTGTTCATGGAATATCCAAAGAATTAGGCATGTTTTTAATTCTTTCTTAAAAATATAAAATAACCTGGTAGTTTGGGAATATTGCTTTTGTAACAGTTTCTCTTTTTATCCACTATTCATTACAACTTTGCCTAATGCAAACAGCAATTTAGAGAAAAACATGCAGTAGTTAATTTGAGACACTTTCCAAATTATTTTGTAAAGTCAGTTCCAGTGAGGGGATGAAGCAGTTGACCCTGGTGCCAATGGTGCCTTCTTTACCAGCAGATGTATTTAGAAATTATTAGCAGTTCTGTCCCAGGCCTGTTTATAACTCAGGCATGGATTGTCTTTATGCTTCCAAGGAGATAGGTACTACTCTGTTGTGTTCCATAATCCTGATTGTCTTGGTCAGATGTATTTTGCACCTAGACAAGGAACTTTTCCTTGCTGTGAGAGGCAATTCCCAGTTCTGTTGACATAAGCACTAGTACCCTCATATGTAAACCACCCACAAAGGCATTTACTAAATATATATTTAGCATGCCTGCAAGTTAAACCTTGGCACTTTGCATACTTATTTTCAACAAAAGCTTGGTTAAACAAAGAGAGGCATTGAACCTGAAAAGAAGTCCTCTCTCCAGAGGGAGAAAGTGAAGGGCAAAAGATAACTGACCAGTAGGTAAAAAGATCTAGAATAATGACACAAGGTGATGTTGCTGTGGGCAACATTATAAAAAGATGCCTCAGTGGCACAAATACCAAAGACCAGTTGGGATTTTGAGCTTATAAAGTACATAGAAATATTTTAAACCAATAGCCTATGTGAAATCACTGTCACTGCAGTCAGGATTTTAAAAGGGCCCTTTGTTTGGTTAAAATAGAATCAGCAGTGTACCTGTTCTTA